ATTAAAAAAAAAAAAAAAATACCCAGGCCACAGGTTCACCACCGATCTACAGCAGACTGGAGCCAAGTGGCGTTAGTTCAAACCCAAGCAATACCCAGTAGCAACACAATCTTGGGCAAGTTATTTAACTTCTCACTGCTTCAGTCTTCAACTTTGTGAAACAGAACAATTTTACCTACTTTTCAAGGCCGTGAAAAATGCATGCGTTGCTATACAAAACACTCTGCCACACACCTGGTACACCCCAAGGAACTGTCTGCCACTGCCCTCATGTCCTCCTGTTGCTTGTTTAATGTACCCACAACAGCACTTCTCACTATGGACAGTAACTTCTCACAAAAAGCGCTCTGGAGCTGTCTCTCTGGCTCGAGGCCCTGGCAGCCCAAGAATTCAGCAGAGAGGAGCACACTGATTTCAGGGAGGGACAGTGAAGTGGGAGGGGATGCTCTGTGCCCACTCTGTGCATGGGGTACTTCTGTGCCTGCTCCTCTCCCTACATATCTGAAGAACCCCATCTGTGGAGAAGGAGGCCAAAGCCTTCCCTGGGAGACGGGGATAAAATAAAATCCAGGTCACAGAGAGTAAAACAGCCCCAGCCCCCAGAGAAAGCCGAATATCCTGGGGTAGGGGAGAGCCATTGCTCTGAAAACAAAGCACTGACCACCCAGCTTGCTGGCAAGGGGGCCTCTGTACAGCTGCCCTACCACCCACTCGGAGGCCCACTGCCAGCCACTCAAGTTGCATTCCAGAGCCCCTGTGGCTAGAGGGGTAAAGAACTGGGGGCTCCTAATCCCCCTGGAGCCCCCTAGCACAGCTGGAGCCGCGGCCTCAGTACCCTCACTGCCTGGGGCCTGCTGACATCGTAATCACCAGCCCTTTTCTGTAGTCCACCACCTCACCCAGGCAGTCACCCATCATGGTCAAGCATGTAGGCCTTTGCTGCTGGGATTCCCACTGCCAAGAATGCCTCCCCCAAACCACTGGGACACTTACTCATCCTTGCCCATCCAAATCCAATGTCCTCACCTCCCTGAAGTCCAGCCACCACCCATCCTGCCTCCAAGGCCCAGTCCTCGGAGCTCCCATCACCCCGCATAGTACAGAACTAGGAAGCACGCCCTCAGGCAGATGCATGCTCAGCACTCTTCTCTAATATGGGGTTAGTTAACATGTTGAAATCAGATTTCACATAAAAGTCAGCACTTCTAACTTCTCTTTTAAAAGAACATGATCAGCCTGGCATGGTGGCACACACCTGTAATCCCAGCACTTGGGAGGCTGAGGCTGAGGCTGGAGAATCACTGTGAGTTCAAGGCCGGGTTGGGCTACAAAGTGAGTTGAAGCCCAGCCTAAACTGCAGACACATCAGCTGAGGTGGCACACTGTGTCAGATGGGCCACATACTCTCCAGTCCACAGTCACCACCTCCCTCAATAGTTCCCTGCCCAGCAGTAGGCACACCTGAACCTCAGCCTCGGCATAGCTGTCCCGAGGACAGCAAACTCTCTGGGCAGGACCGGGGCTTACCAGCTCTGCAATGCGTAGATAGACAGACCCTACTGTGCACAGGTCCTCAGCAAACAAAGGCTGGCTTTTTACTTGACCTTTAAGCCTTGGGTGACCCTAAGGGCAGCAACCAAGCACAGATAAGGAAAAGGCTCCAAGTAAACAGCCATAAAGGAAGCCACTAAACATGTTTGTGTGTGTGTGTGTGTG